GACTGCCGTTCGGCTGTGACTTTCCAACGCTGATCGCAAGATGGCGGTACGGTATACCTATTACAGTGTAAACGTGAATATTCAATCAACGATCAAATAATACATTTTGCATTTAAATTCCAAATTTTGATCAATAAATATCTTCAATTTATTGTTCATTCCGCATTTAAAGTCAATTGTAGATTATAGACAAATTATTATACTTTATAGGCAAATATTATACACGATGGAACTTCAACAATGATGCTCATCGATCGACCAAATTACATAATATTTAATGTATATAAAACATATTGCGTTACAAGCCTTAACAAAAATATATACATACGCGTTTTCTTTCTTATGCACAGAACTTTGAATTACCCGCGCACTGAATCGATCGTTTCGCATAGGCATGCTGGGTATGCAGTCTATGTGTTACTAGTTGTTACCAAGTTATATAAAAGTGCAAAAATGGTAAGAATCAGATCGAAAAGTTTATTGTGGGCAGACCACAGAAAACTATATGGTGAAGCTCTAGGTACGTTGTTAAAAGAGAGATACAATAAAGCATAATTTAATAAATTGTTCGATGATATTCTAGGTACGAAACTAAAATATTTCTGGATGAAAGCTTGGAACGATATTCCAGAAAGTTTAGCAGCTTTACCTATGATTGCGGCAACCTTTGTTGTCGGAGCACTTCTGTACAATAAAATAGCTAATGATGACACTCCTACAAAATATTACTCCAAGATCACCAGTAAGTGAGCGAATGCTGTTTTCAGTTTCTTCGTTTAGGTTATGTTAAATTGTTATACAACTGTTTCAATGCACGATTTTAACTAATAATTTCAAAAGCAACTGAACAATTTTTCTTAAACTTTTGTCTAATCTCAGTTTTCAGACCCGATAACCCCAGAGCTGCCCGCATCAGGACGGACGAGACTCTAAAAGGAGAAAAGGCATGTTAATGCTATGATCTAATTATTATCAAAGTAACAGTGAACTTATTTATTATTAGTGCAAGCAGTTGTATTCACATTGTAAATTTATAACATAGTTGGAATATATTCGTAAATGTCATCTAAATAAATATTGTCTCCAGAAATTTGCGATACCCTTTTTACATTTTCTTAAGAAGGGAAAAGACAAACAAAGATAAGCAGAATTTCATTTTAATAAAACTCAATGTGTCTAAATCATTTATTGATAACTTCATTGTCGTTAAAAATACTATAAAATAACAGGTACATTGTTAAACTATTGAATACTTTTGTCATGCTAAACGGTGTTCCTGAGCAAGTAATTTCTACCTCGAAAAGTAGCTAATAATATGTAATAATGTATGTGTAGGTCTTATCCTACGTATCGCGGAATAAATGCACGCGTGATCTGTGTCTGTCAGTGGCTCGACTGCGATTGTTTCGCCAGTCCAGTGAGGACGCTGGGAGTGCCTTGGGACAAATTCCCTAGTGCATCCCGGCGCCATCTGTGGAAGTAACTAGGAAGTTACATCATGCTTCCTACACCTCACATCATGCTCCCTACATATGTAATGTAATTTACTGGAATATCATTCCTATTCATAGACTCAATTTCTATTTCATTATTTAGAAGATTTTATTACAAATTCAATCCATATAGACAAGAGACTACATTACAAAATTCGAATAGAATTAATTATTTGTATAATAATAATCGTGTTTAAAATTTTAGTTATTTTCCAAGGACGTAGAATGTACTATTAAATTATAATAATTAGGTCTAATAGAATAGAATTGAATTTCTCTTATTTTTTTAGAAGTGTTTTAGAAAAAAGATAAAAACAACTAAACTGTGAATTAATTAAAAGAAACATTAAAAGAAACGAATACTAAAGTTTCGTCTTTTATTTAGGGTGGGAGGGGATTTTTTTCAATAAATTCGGAAATTTTTGTTTCAAATAATGACGGGAAACAATCATTATGGATAAAAGGACGCGATTGAAAATTAACTAGATCGGGTGCTTGTACTTACGTCGACACTAATTGTAACTCATGCGCCATACACCTGATAGGTTAGTGTTTCTGAAACCTGTCTACTTGTGTTTATAACTTGACAATTACAGTACACACACGCCTCCGTGCGTCAAAATGTCGACTAATCGATATGCTAAATAGGTCTGGAGGTCAGCTCAAATACGCATCTAATGTTTTACAAAAACAATCATTATTCTCGTGTACACGACGGGCTTTTAGAATCTACAAAAGGAATCACTTGCCGATGAAACGAGGAATACAACTAAAGCCAAATGGCATTTATCGAGCGTGTATTGGTCATTGGAGATTACATTTTGCCCGATATCGGTCGCACACACGCCTTTGTATTTGCGGAAACGCTTTCGAAAGTTCGCGAGAGACGGAAGGGATCCTGCAATCAAACGCTGATCCATCGCGCGTCCAGACAATGAACGTTCCCGGTTCCCGGAGAAATTTTCGATTCAAACGCAAAACACACGTCGCGGAGCAGCTTTGTTCGACGGAACGCGACGCAATACGAAATCCTATTGTTATCGCGTCGGAGTGAAACTAAATTCTGTTTATCGTTTTCTTCGATTAAAGTGAAATTCTAATGTGAGCGCAATCCCGCGCGCGTATCGACGTCACGTTTCCGAATGTTCGCCAGGAGTGTAACTTGGAAACGTCCTACTTTTTACGAGCCCACAAAACGTTCGAATGGATCGTCAAAGTTTTACTATAACCCGCGGCAACCATCAACGTCGATGGTCTGCTGTATCAGGCGGAAATTTCGAGGGCTGTAATCGTAATTGCGAGTTCGAGGCTGGCCGAAGGTATGTAACTTAACCTCGAAAATGAATTACGAGCACCCCTGTAAAAACAATCTCGAATCGTTTAAAAAACTTTAGGAAACGAATTAAGAAACGAGTATCGGATTAATTTGAAATCGTTAATATGTTTCTCTGCGTGTGTAAGGACAATATGAAAGAGGAGATAATGAATTAATAGCACAGTGGAGTCTCGATTAACTGGTTCCATTAGGAGATTCAAAGGGGGGATTCGAAATGCAGTTTATATAGAAAATAGATATTTTACTTTTTGTTCTGTAATTTCATAGACTGATCTGAAATCAATTGATCTTTAGATATTTCTTTGCATTTCTTTGCATAATAAACAGGTATGCAGAAATACTAATTTCCATATTCTCCTGCCTTAGTTTGTGTGGATCGATCATTGGGTATGTTTTATCTCCCTATTATTTCCGATGATTGACGCTCTACTGTGTGTTTAATACACCATTACGACGAAGGTGAAATCAGTTCTAGACTACGTCCAGAACACTTTCGAAAGAATATATGAGCCTTGAAGTGGTATTTCGAGATATGTTAGATAAGTATTCGAAGCTACTTCGACGACCGTTCAATTTCGCGTGTCGTTTCGCTTCAGAAAGCAAACGACAAATAACTATATTCATTTTTTCAGGAATCTAATAGCGTTCGTGTTCGGCCACACCTGAGAAAAATTTTAATGGGAGATTGTAGAGGCCAAAATAAGACTAACATTAAGAATATCAATTTCTTGACTGAGGCTTCGTTAAATAGTTATTAACAAATAAATTAAAAAATTTCAAATCGTTCTGAAAAAATTATTTTCGGTTGTGGGGGTCCATTACAATCATTTTTGGTGAATACACATACCCCCGAATTCCTACCTACTTTCAAGAAAAAAATTCGAGTAGGTGCTGAAATTTCACGGCGAAAAAAAATTTTTCAAATCGTTCTAAAAAAATTATTTTCGGTTGCGGGGGTCAATTGCGATCATTTTTGGTGAATAGGCATACCCCCGAATTCCTACCTACTTTCGAGAAAAAAATTCGAGTAGGTGCTGAAATTTCACGGCGAAAAAAAATTTTTCAAATCGTTCTAAAAAAATTATTTTCGGTTGCGGGGGTCAATTGCGATCATTTTTGGTGAATAGGCATACCCTCGAAATCCTGCGCATTTTCGAGAAAAAAATTCAGTACTAGCGGAACTTTGAACGTTATCAACTATTTAACGAAGCCTCCATCAACGAATTGGTATTCTTGATTTTCGTCCTGTTTTGAACTCTAGAATCTCTTAGAGTATTCGTGAATCGTATCGACGGCGAGGAAACTTACTTTGCCCAGGCTTCGGCTCCACGAGGAAGGTTTCATCCGGAACCAAAGCGAAGTAGCTTTACGGCGCATTAATGCAAATAAAACGCGACTACTTGGCACGTTGTATCCACCTTGCTATCAAATATGCAACAGCGAGTGTGAGAGCAGCCTAAAGCAGGCACCGGTGCCGCGAGTGCTCGGGATGCACCTGATGGCAGAGCGCAGGATCGTAGGGATCGCGGGGGTCCGTTGGCTCCTTCTGTGTAACGTGTGCACGCCGTTATGCCAACGACGAAGCGTAGATGAAAGCGTCGAGCGATGGGTTAAACAGAGGTGGAAGAGGGTGAACGATGGAGGGGGAGGAGGGGAATCCAGGAGAAACGGAGAAGGCTAGTCGAAGGGTCGGCGCAGCGGAGCAACAGGAACGAGGGAGCTCCCTTTGAGGAAAACGCGAGGGGTAGAGGAACCGACTCGTAAAGAGCAGGGAAAAGGCGTGCAAAGACAGAGCGACGGAAACGATGGACACGCCGTGAGAATAGAGAGCGGTGAGACCCGGGGTGGACACGGAGGACGAGGCGGATAGAGATGCAAAGGGTTTCGCGCTGAGAAATGGGGAAGAGGGTAGCGGCGGTCTGGCGTGGAAAGGGGGTGTACGAGCAAAATAGAACTACCGAGGAAGAGGAGGTCGGAGCGAACGGGTGGGGGAGAAGGAGGCAGAGCGGGAGAGTAGAGGAGAGCAGAGGGACCTCCGCGATACGGACCACCCCTCGGTGGTTTGCCAGTGGTTCAGTCAGCGTTTCGCACCGGCGTCGCCTCTCTGCTACTCGGCGATTCGTCTCGGTCAGCCTCGTGCGGATAATCGCGTGGCCGATGTCGCGAGATCAATGAGAGCCAGTGCGGCCCGCGGGAACGAAGAGGCTGCAGGCGCGAGTAAGTCGAGAGGTCCCGAGCGTCGTTCAGGATAAAGTGATCCCGGAAGAACGGAAACCCGTCGATGCCGCCTCGTCTCGGTGGTGTTTGAGCAACCGTATCGCGGTGTCCCCGTCGAGGAAGCGACAGAGGACCTACGAGGGCAGCCAGAGAACGCTACGAGGGCCTGAACGGGTCCTTGAGCCCAACGGTGCATGTCTCAGAACCCGCCGGACAGCTTTTCGTCCTCCGAAGCTCTGCCTACGTCCCTGAGGTGAGCGACCACTTTCGGACGATCCGATTTTCCTTCTTTCTGTTCGTTTTTCTTACTCTCGCCGGGAAGGAATCACCGCCGCGGAATTTAATTTCGACCGACGTCTAGCGACGCGAGCTGAATCGAGAGATGAGATCTCCTCCGCGTTTCGTCGCAGGCACGCGCGTCGCAAAATCGAGGGCGAAAATTCTAATTTAACGACACTTGTTCCGCGGGACCGTTCGAGCGTAACGAGGGTTCTTCGACCCAACGGTGGATCAATTGCGGTCGTCGCTGATCCGAGCTGGTCCTTTTACCGGGACGGCTCGTCGTAGATTAGGTATTTCAAGTCACTAGACCCATTCATCTTAATTATCCACGGTCCACGAATTTACCCAGCATCCTTGTTTTCTTCGAGCCCTCGCGATTGCATTTCGCAATCTGATCTCGCCCGGATCGTTACGTACGCGATCAATATCGAACCCGATCGCGCGTGCAATTGGAGATCATTAAGCATCGATAGATCGTTCGCCATTATCTGGCTCGCAAACCGACGGATGTTATTAAATCGAAGCTGTACATTCCCAGTATCCGGATGAAACGTATCTTAAATATCGATCGAAACGTCTAGATTTTAAATTTCTGGGTTTCCGCGTTCGAACGTGGACCGTCTCGGCGCGTTTAGGCTCTCTCGACACCTATTCGAGCGGTTTGTTCCCGCGCGACGCCTCGTATCCGCCGCCACGGTATTTTGCATGGTTCACGAGCGCGATCCAAGTTCGCCAGGCACATCGTAAAACCGAAGTTGGACGTCGGCCAAGTCGCGAGTGCCATGACTGTGCTGGAATAACCGCACGCGGCTAGAAACAGCTGTTAACCCGACTTGTTGCACCGTCGAACAAACGGTGCCATGTTGCACGCCCGCGACCCTGCAAACCGCATCGACTCTTTGTTATTCAGCAAGATGCAACAAATCTTTGGCACGTGCAGCCGCTGGTATCCGCGCCTCGTGCTCCCGTTCCCATTCTTTTCACCAGTTGATTCCGCCAGCGTTCGGATACGAGGAAACTGAAACCTGTTACCTCCACTTTTTAAAGAAATTTACGTCTTTGACTACGCCTCCGTTTCTTTTCTTTTGCGTGATTGGTACGTTTGGGTCTTTAAAAATATGCCCTGCCAGGGTTCGTCTACGAGTAATAATAGAAAGACGAATTTTTTACGAGCATTTTGGGAACCGAAGAGCTCGCGAGCGGAAACGGGGCCAAGCACGTTGCAAATAGAAAGCGAAGACGAGATCGGTTCGAATTCTCCGCGAGTGCTTCGGGAGGCGGAAACAATACTTTCGAGTAGACTCGGATTTGGAATAGATTTTACCTCGTGTACGAGTACGTGGGTAAACAAAAGTGGTTCTTCCGGAGTGGAATCAAACCCCGACCGAGTATCTCGAAACCTTTATGAACAGGGTAAACTCGAACGACTCGGTGATAGTTTTGAATTTCGTTTCCTAAATTATAATATCAAACCACTATGGAGACAAGTAGTAGGTGGGAATGTTAGGTCAGACATTTACGTAAACGAGTAATGGAATAAAAACAGTTGCATTTTAAAGGTTGTAACCTTTCTCGTGTTACACTTCTATTCATGATCGAAATATGCAGTTTACCTGCAAGGTCTCGTAAGACCTTATTGCGTATTATTTATTTTAAAGCGTGTTCGATCCGTCTACGTATACCTGGAAATGCTATGAGCAGCAGAGTAGAACATCGATTGTCGGAACGACCGATTATCCGACTGTCAATAATCCGATCGACCGATTATCGGAACACAAAACAAGACATGTGTCAATAGTATCATAATCTCTACACTAACGCAGTCTATGCTCCGAGACCTGTATGCGTCATACATAAACAAATTTACTAATCTCTACGATATCGTGTCTAGAGCGTCCCTCAAGTATCGATCACAAACGCATAGGGCAAGCGTACCAATAATCGCCAGTGAACCTGTGATCGACACTGCATGTTTAATTAAATATTAAATATTAACTACGAATTGATTAGAAACTCGCTCAAAGTATTATACAATGGAACAAAACAACTTTGTCGCGTGAAAGAAGTTTGACAATAATTATCAAGATTATTAACTCATTGGTTTTCTATTCATTCTATTTATCTTAAGCTCTTGAGGATTAAAGTTATTAGCATCGTCGATCTCTGGTTCGAGCACATCTATATGCGCACGTTTTCCAACTTTGCTCTTAACTTGATATATTCATAAATTCGATAATGACTAATTTCATTCAAAACATCCACGGGGAAGCGATATCCTCCGGAGTAGAAAGTTTCTGAGGACGATATAGTCTTACATTTCCTTAACGTGTCGATTACCGGTACGTTTACCCTTCATAAAATAACATCTTCCAGTTCCTTCATGAATAACCAAAGATAACAGCGATGCTGAAATTGGAAGAAAAATTAAATATTATTGGATGTTCGAAAAGGGGCAGAGAAGTTGGTTAGTTTGGCTATGAGAAGAGTAATAAAACTTACAATTGACCATACCGAGTTATTAATTTGAGCAAAAATTATTTCATTTTTCGTCGTTTCGTAGCACAGTTGTATCCGTGAATTTTCTATGGGAACACGCTTAGCGATCTATTAGTTGAAATAATCGTTCCGCTTACGACTAAGAGGATTGAACGAAAATAATTACTCCACTTTACCAACTGTGGTTCAACTACGGATATTCCCCCCCCAAATGAAACAGGAAAATAATCCTTTGAACGAGATCTTCCGTTACTTCTATTCACTTTTTCCAGATAATCGGTAACATTCTCCACACACCTCCGCCAAGGACCAAGTTTCTTGAAACCTTAATGGACAATACGAGCTTTCGTTCTGTTCGAGAGTTACGTTATGTTTCGTCCAAAGCACTTTCTCGGTATCGAATGTGGCTCGATGAAATTTACAGAATAAATTGCGCAATTATTCCGTGATTGCGCAAGCTCATTTACATTTATTCCCTCGAGTATCAAGCATTCGAGAAACTCTTCTCCGCGTTCAACTCTCTCGCCCGATGATAAATAATTGTTCCGAGAAGATTACGCCGCACTTACTACGACCAAGATTCTCTCTTCTTCCTTACAATATTCATAACGCCGGGGAAACTGTACAATCTCCCCGATACACTTTTATTCTTTTCATCGTAGAATGGAATTTTTACAATCATCCCCGGCGCTGTTCGACCGATACATTTTATCGAAGCGTCTTCCATTCTTTCCATTGTTCGGATCGAAAATTACACAACCTTCGAGTCCATGTCGAAATAAACGTATCGAATCAATTAAAGATTATCCCAAATTACATCGACAAGAACAGTGCAAACATCGGGGACCATTGTTGTTACATTTATTCCTTCCAAGTAACAACAACTGTCCCAAATAAAAAGTTATTAAAGTCTTATCTGCCCCAGGGGAAATAAGAAAGCTCGAAAATTGAAAGCGTTACAGAACTTTGGCGAAAAATTCGATCTCTCGCCAAATTTTGCTCCGTCGAGTGGCACAAAGAAAATTTCAACAAATATCGGACTTACTTTACGTCGAACGATAAAGGAACCCGTGCTTTATATGTGCGCCAAATTTCAAGCGACTCGAGATCAACTTTAAAAATACCATTTCGAGAAAAATGGCTTCGAAGTTTCGCGCGAACATTAACAGGATTTTCTTTCAGAAAGGCTAGTGAATTATTGATTTATTTATGCTCGCGAGCTAGTTGGAGCCACCTAAAGTTTGTAGTCGATCTTTGTAAGGCTAGAAAAGGGATTAAAACTGTAGAGAGACGGTCGTGTCATCGTTAAAGAATGCTCTTTATAAACCGTGTCGTTTAATTTTTGATTCGGTTAGAGATTAAATCGAACCGCTCTCTCGGTCAGGCCAGCCTTGTTCGAAAGAGCCAGGAATACCGTTTCGCGTGGCCAGAAGTTCAAGAACACGTACAAATTCGCGTACGGTCTAGCGTGGTCGGACGGCTGGATTTACGATTGTTCGTCAAGGCGGATACTGGCCAGACGTATCGCAAATTCTGGTGTTCACGGGCTGCCCGCTGCACCCTCGGCTCGAACGTGGACGTCGAACGCACGTTTCCCAGCACAGACAACCGTAAACAATTCGATCGTTGCTGAATTCGCGCGTTCCCTGCGCTAGTTTTTCCGTAAACTTCAATACTTGACTGTACGGGTCAATTTCATCCCCTATTAGACTCGTTCCCCATAAACTTCCCAAGTAGGCCATTTTTTAGATTAAGAATATTAGCGACTAAATGATTAAATCATGTCCTTGCGAGAAACGAGGTAGTTCGTAGCTGGGAGTTTTAGAAATATGTTTCTGGCGGCCTCGATAGCCAAAGAAGCGTCGTAAAAGGGGGAGTTTCTGAAGGGTAGCTCTGACACAGATTTTCAACGATTTCTGTATAGATTCGATAACACGAATATAATCGAGACTTTCTAGCAAATTGATCTTCTTTGATCTTTTTTTTCGCTTTCGACGAAATAACAATCTCGAGACGAAGTATCTGCCATTTTTGTTTCTTCTTTTATTTCTTTGGGGAAATTCGAAACGAAAAGAAGAAGAATTATTACGGAAACAATACCTGAGAGCACGCGTTTCCCTTCGCGGTTGATATTCATGTGTGGAAATATCGGAAAAATAGGCCCATAGACTTCTTTCTGGCGGAGTTACGCTTCAGACGCAGATATCGTTTCAGCGCGGAACGAAGTTTGAATAAAATATGGCTCGCGTGGAACGTAGGTACGATACAGGGCGTACAGAGCGTTCCATACCGCGGTGAACATTTTTTCCCCGGTCGAAAATTTCGAATCATTCCTTCTTCACCTCGACCGCGACGTTTCGTCGAAACTCCATTCGACGAGCGACATGCTCCGATTTTCGCTTGGATGAACGCGAGCTGTCATTTTGTTTACGTTTCCGCCTCATTGTATCGCATTTCGAGATCAAACCGGGTCGA